TTGTTTTTCGGAAAAAGTATTGTAAATTTTTCAAGGGAAAAGTGCTACTTTACAAACCATCGGTTTGATCCAAATTTATTTGTTATATAGCTTAATAATATTGCTGTTATACATGCAAGCGTTATTAAAAATCTCTGTAAATATACGAATATTTTAATATTATATATATATATTCCAGTTTAAGTGGGTTTTTAATAAAAAATTTAATTTTAATATGCAAGAGCTTATTGATAAAATGTTAAATATTCGGCATGTTTAAAACCATCGTTAAACTTAAAAAATAATTAATAAATTGTTATTCTATTCTTTGCTTAACGTCATACGCATAAATCTCAACAATGAGACTTTTTATTCACTAATCCGTTCCTTTAAACTCTTATCACAACAGTTACGCAAAATGTAACACATTTGTTAAATTTTCGATGTTGAAATAAGAAGTAGTTTAATTCATAGCTTTGCCTCCCATTTTCTTCATACTTTTATGCCTAATTGTATGTGACACATAAAAAATTAATATCGATGATTCCTAATAAGCTAGAGAATAAAATCAAAGGCGAAGGGAGAGATGAGAAGTAAAAAATACTGACATTGGCTCTTTTCTGGCCCTGTCTTTTCGGTTCGGACACATTTTTGGAGATCATATTTTGGAGATGATAGAAAAAAAATGCCTTAATATTTATGAAAAGCGTCCTTATGAGCTCTAAAATGTTTTTGGAAATCGATCTTCTGAGGCTCTGATACTCATTCCAAATGCTGTATTTTTTATTTTGTTTATGATTTTTCTTTCCTCATATTTGGAGTTTCTTACAAATAATTTGCATTACTGCAAATATTCTACTTTTTTCTTCATACGATCTTTCATATTAAAACGCATAAATGATAATATGAAATTTTTATATATTTAATAAAACTCTAGTCTATACGACTGCGATTGAAGTGAAAATTTAAATTCCTCTAAGAAAGAATTTCATTCTTATTACAAATTTTTTTTATTTACAAATAAAACACTTGAAAATAATACGAAATACACGCAAATAGCTCTTGAAAATACTTGTACAATTAAAAATTATAACAAAAACACTAATATAAAAGGGAGAGAGAGGGGGAGAGAAAAAAATGAATGCAAAATATGTTTGGCATATGAGCCATAAACATTTTTATCTAAATTGGAACGAACGTGTGAGAAATGCGCTCTTCATTTATTCCATTATTAACAACTTTATTCATGTTCGTATTTGTTTCCTGTTAGGGAATGATGCAATGCATTAAGAGAAAAATATTTGAAATTTTTATATTTTACTCTCCGCTCTTTTAAAAAAAAGGGAGGGGGGCGGTGAGAGAATATTTTTTATTACGTACTTAAATGGTATACTAAAAATTTAATATGTTTTTTTCCATTTTATCATAATTTTTTTTATAATATAGGAAATTATTTATTTAAAATAAAATGTTTTTGTTTTATACAAGGATATTTGTGTTTCAAATGGAATATATACATTTAAGGTATTGTGAGGATTTATCATATTTTTAAATGCATTTCATTTACATAATATTTATGAGTTGAAAAATGAATAAATGCATACAAATGTGAGATTTAATTCACGATTATTATATTATTAATTATTATAACTGCTTGTATAACAGTTGCAAGAAAATTTTTCATCGTAAAAATGAAATAGAATTTCGATAATGTTTATAATATTTTTAAATTACGTGTTGAAATGAATTTGAACTCCACAAGTAGTGTTTGAAATATCTGTTAATATATTGCAAGCTAGGAAGTTCAATTTCAAAATTTTAGTTAAGTTTCAAACCATTTTCGCGTTTTTTTTCATTTTAATGCAATATTTTCGTATAAAATTAAATTTATTAAAATAACCCTCTTTTCGTTTTACTTCTGCAGTATTATTTCTCATGTATGATTATGTAACCAGCTATATCCAATGGTCCAAATAATTTGATTGTTCTTTATTTCTCCGAAAACCAATTATCTAAGTATTTGCTTTGATTTGACTAAAAATTTAGGACTTAATAATGTTTTATCTCTTACTATCCTTGTTATTTTTAAAAAAATGGAAATATAAAGATTTTCAAAGATTATCTATAAAAGCTGTGTGTTCAACGACAATCAAATAGGAATGACATAAGACCAATACATCTAATCATTATGATTACTTTAGAAAGCGTTGTGAAAAACAAATTTGCCGATAATTTCTTTGTATTTTTGAGTTGAGTTATGGTAAAGGGGTTTGAGGGGTAAAAGGGTAAAGGAAAAATCAAATTTTCCTAGACTCTTCCCTTCGTTATTCATCTGTTCTAAAGTTTTATGAGGCAATTTTCTTAATTTCATCAATTCTGTACTTTATTATACTCTGCACTTCGTGAAGGGTATATTCACTTTGGTATGGAGTTTGCAACAACTCGAAGGAGGCGTCTTCGGTATGGACATATATATAATATATTCTTGCTCAGCCTAAAACTCTGCGTCAATTTAGACATGTCCGTTCGTCCGTCCGATCGTATGATAACTCAGAAACGAATAAAGCAATCGACACCAAGTTGCTTCTTTTGTGCCAACGACGGCTACTATTGTAATTGGACCAATTCGGACAACGGGTTCGGGTAGCTACCATATGACTCAAAGAGGTTTTTTTTTAATATTTCAAAAAGTAATATAGATATTAATTTCAAATTTTGCAAAGATGTGTCCAATTACACTTCACATATATTCTAAATATATTTTAATGAAATGGCTGCATTGGTTCGGGTAGCTGCCGTACAACTCCGAAAGTTATTTTTAAATATTTGGAAAAATAATAAAGTTAGATTCATGAAACTCGGCCGTCATGTGCCACTTATAGTTTAGACATAATATTCGTGAAGTTTCTATCGAGTGGTTTGACAGGTTCCAGTAATTCCATTTAGCAATCAAAATATTTCAGATTGTCAAAGTGCAGTATATTATTCAGTCGGTTTATACCGACATAAACGTTTTTACTTGTTTAAATTTTATTAGAAAAATCTCTTCACGGCGGTATCAAAATTTATTCAGGATTTTTTCATAAAATTTCTTATATGGGTCAGTCAATAAACATAAAAAATTTGTTATCTTATTTATTCATAGTAACTATAGAAACAAAAATAACTGTAAAAGCATTAATTTACAAAGTACTTAGTTAGAAAATATAAAATAAAAGTACAGGAAAACAAAATGGCAATAAATCATAAAAATTAATGAAATATTTATAGAATAGAATAACATTATTAACCGTTAATAAGGATATATGGGAGTGCACCTATTTAATTTACTAAATAAAAGCTCTCCGGACAATTTATAAATTCATTTTGAGTAGAACGATACTAAAAGAAAATGTTTTATTATTAGTTGTTATTCAATTAATAAAAATAAAATCAATAAAAAAAAGGATATTGAATTGTAAAATAATCCTGATGAAAAAAACAACTCCTTAACAGCAAATAAATTTCACATTCATTGCAGAATTATTTTTTATTTGAAAAAGGGATCCGTTTTTCCTATACCTACTATTATATTGTCCTAGTTATGCATCTATTGTAAAAAAATAAAAATTTTAATTGCACACACAGTCTTTTTATTTTTATGTCTTTTAATTATAAATATAGGATGGGCTTTATTTTTTTTCCTCTATCTATTTTATAGTGTTCAAAACACCTACTTCCGACCATTGTGTGTACAAAAGTTAGTTATTTTCGAATAATTTTCAAAGCTTAATTTACTTTTTATACATAAATTTTTAAAATAATTTCGAAAGGGTTTCAATAATAATATGGAAATTGTGTGTTTTGAATAAAAAGGATAAAGAGAAAAAAAAAATAATTTAAAAAATTTTCTGCTTGTACCCTTTAAAAGTTTTCTATACGTTTCAAATAAAAGTTATTTTTACATTTTTATGAGATTTCTAAACTATTTTCGAATTTTTTTGTGCGGACAAAAGTTTATTATATTTGGTGTACTCTGAATACTATAGGAGTATTCTTCGAATAATAAATTGGGGCTAATTCCAATGGTTTTTAAAATAGGACATTTGCATTGAATATGTTAAACCTTTTTTTTTTCTTATTGCATACATCTAGGCGGAAAACAAATTTAAACATGCATTGATTATGGAATTGAATGGAATTAGTAAATTCTGTTAGTTAAAATTATAATAATATTTTCTGATATGAAGATATTGACCGTTTGTGTTTCCAGGAGCTCGGTAAAGCTTATAATTTAAAAAAATTTAGATGCCTAATTTTGTGAGTTGATAATTCGAGAAGGGAAGGATATAAATATTTGAAAATCGTTAAAATTATGAACATTCACAGTTTGTTCGTTAATTGATGAAAATTATGTCAAATTTAGAAAAGAAAACTCATTGCAGATAACCATTACTTTCAGTCCAACCACGATTTTGTGATAGTTACCTTTGCCAAGATTATCTAAATTTTTTCATACAACTGCAGAACAGATGGATAACGTAATCAAAGAAACGAGTTAAAGGCAGGAAAATTAAAAAAATTATCTCTTAGAACTGGACTCGAACCAGTGACGTACCGCTTTCTACTTTCCAACCGAGCTACAGAGCTTTATACCGCAATCCACACAATTACCAAATATTTTTTATATTACTCTAAAAAACTATAAGTTTCCAAATAGCAATTTGCTTAAAATGTTTTCTCGTGAATTATGAAAATAAACAGTCATAATTTTTAAGTAATGGGTAGAAGGGGGCTGGAATATTAAATTTTAAGCCGGTTTTTTAATTTTGTATGATTATTTTAAATGAAAAACTTTTATTTTTTTCTTAAATATTTCAAAACTATTTTTTAATAAATTAAAAATTATTAAAAATAAACTTGGAGTTTATGACAAATATTTTCAAAAAATTTCCACCATTTTGAATAAATTTTTAAAAAATAAAAACTTTTTAATAAAAACCTTAATAAAAAGATATTTTTTTTTGTTATTTTTCTATTAGGTGGCCATAAATGCCGTGAAGAATGGCCAACATCATGGAAACAACCATATGAGAAAATTTTTAATATTTATTTGGACATAATATTATTAATAATACCAGTTTTAGTATTAACATTAACATACTCTTTAATATCAAGGACATTATGGCATGGTATGAGAGCTGAAAAAGCACCGAAAGGAACACAATCGAGTAAGAATTTTTCATATAAAATATTTAATTTTATATTTTATTAGAAATTTACGCACAACCACATCCCTAATACATGTTAATTATGCAAAAATGTGAAAAATGGAGTCATGTTAAATGGAAAATAGAAAATTTTGTTTTTAAATATTTTCTAAACTTTATGAATAATTCCAATAGTTTATTCGAAATTTTTTAAAATATTTAAAAAAAAAATTAATTATTCAAAAGTGAACATTGGTTGTGGCAAAAAATATTTTCACATAATGTTAGAGAAAACTTACGGTAAAAGATTTTTTTTTAAAAACTTTAACTATTTTAGTGGTTGTGACGTGGTTCTGGTTCTTGGACAATAGTATTTAAAGTTTTAAAAATAATTTATGAGTAAAATTGAATTTCTGAAAGTGAGAATTATATTTTATTAAGGCGATCACTTATTGCATACTTTTAGGTCGAATTTGTCGATTTAGCAAGTTAGTCTAAATAACCAATAATATTCCTTTGCCATTTCATGGTAGAAGAAAAAAATTATGATATTTCTGCCTTTATGGAATGTCAAAATTCTTAGCGGCTTCAATCGCATTAGCTGACAAAAATGCGATCTTTAAGAATTGCAATATTTATAACTTTTAGTGGCGGGGAATTAGGTAAAAATTTTTTTAGAGAAAAATTTTCCGGTATCTCTTCTGCATCTTCTTTTTTGTACAAAATTGCGGGTTTCTATCTTTTACAGTGTAGGAGTCATATAAATACTACTACTTACTAATATGAAAAGCATGGATAGAGCAAAGCTAATAACCATAATTTTCTATCAATTATATTGGAAGCGTACTTAAAAGAGCTGTTGAATAACTATCAAAATAACATATCTATTAACATGTAATTTTAAAGATTAAACTTTGATTTTTATATTTGCCATAGTATCAGTTGCAGCGGGATGTAATTTGTTATTGCAGAGAAACTGATTAAATCATAAAAATATGAATTATTGATATAAGTCTTGAATTTATATCCGAAGGGAGCATATAAATTCCTATTTGCTGTACAGTTGGCATCTCTTGCATTATTTATGCAAGTTCCTTCAACTGAACAAAATTCTTTGAACAATTTTAATAAAACTCTCTATGCAATTTTTCCATATTATTCTAATTGTATAATAATATTTTATTTAATTATTTATAAGTGTTATATTTTCAATTATTTCATTTACATATGTTCAGCGGACAATTTAATGGAAGTTTTCATAAATAAAAATGGTTCACCAAGTAATCGAAGTTTTGTTTCATATCGTACAGCATCGAAGGATAATTTAAATTTAGTTGGAAATTTACATCAATTTAATGGCAACAATAGTTTTATGCAAAATCCAATGATAATCAAAGAATTTTCATATTCAACGAGACGCAAACATGGTTTAAGGAGGTGAGTTAGTACAAAATAAAATTTGCACTATACTTTGGCCTCATTCGAATGGAATTATTAATAAAATTTATATTGAAAAAATCATAGAAAAGATTTAAATAGCCAAATGACTTATTTTACTTAGTATTTCTTCAAATATTAAATTTCAGGCGAAAAATATTCTCATCTCCTCGTGTATCCTAAATTTCATTTCAATATTAAAGGATGTGTGCTTCATAAAAATCATTTACGTTATTTGAATTTTTGTTTGAAGTAGATAAGGAAATTTAAAAACATGAAAATTATTTGAAGACTGCGAAATTCAATGTAAAAATAAAAGTAAAAAAATAAATTGGACCTTAAAATTTTATTGAAGGTTACCTAAACCCATACTTTAAACGTAAATTTTCTTTTTGAATTTATGTCTTTGACCCATTTCAGTATTTTTTATTTATTTATTAAGGTAAGGAGATTTGCTTTTGTGAATCACATACAAAATTATATAAGATGAATTGCTTCAGGATTGGTTTCTTTTCAAAAATTTATATTCATAGAATTTTTCAGGCTCATGTTATTTAAAAATTTCTTAAATTTCTACTTGAATGGATTTAAAAAGAATAATTACATAATTTAATTCAATATTTTTATTTTTAATACTAGAAACCATTTTTAAAATTCTACTAGAAAATTATTATAAAAAAAATATATGCTGAATTATTAAAGTATTTGAATTATAGATCTTGCCAAGGTCAAGTAAGGAATTCATACTAGAATTTTAGTTAAAATTCTAAATAAATAGGACAAAAAATTTAGTTTAGATATGACCTACGAGCGAGAGCCGTTTAATATTCTAATGGGTACATCAAGATTTGAAATTTGACGCCGAAAGAATCACTGCAATTTCCTGAAATAATTTTAATAAAAAATTGATTTTATCAAATAGGTTACGTTTTATAATAATTGAATTTATTGCTGAAAGGATAATTTGAGCTACCCTACAAATCCTCAGTTTCATCTCAGTTAAATTCCGTTTAAATTCAAAGAGTCGATTTTGGGATACCCAAGTACCCTAATGCCCCTTTCAACTTCATTTCAGATCAATTATTTTCCAAATTAGTTAATGCAGTCTTTAGAGGGTTAACATTATTTTTGTTTGTTCAATTAAAAATTCAAATTCTAAAAAATGTTATCATAATTTTAATCTTATATTTTATATTTTCCAGGACAAACATCGAAAAGAGTTTACAAAATAAAAAACGTGTGATAAAAATGTTATTTATGGTAGTATTAGAATTTTTTTTATGTTGGACACCATTATATGTTATAAATACAATTGCATTATTTAGTCCTGATCTAATATATTCATCAATTGGTTATGCTGGTATATCATTTTTTCAATTATTAGCATATTCATCATCATGTTGTAATCCAATAACATATTGTTTTATGAATCGCGGTTTTCGGAAAGCATTTCTTAATTTATTTCGGTGTTTCAAGAGATTTCGCTCGCCAAAAAGAAAAATCAGTATTGGAGGAGGTGGAACTCAAGAGACTGACCTCGAAATAAGCCGTTTACAATGCCAACGTTTATGTACAGATTCAACAATATCATATTGACAGGGTGATAGTATATTATAGAATATATATTTAAATGATATATATTTATGATATTTATTCATTCAATATTAATTACATATACACATACTTAAATTATTAAAAAAATTAATAAAATTATTCTATAAAATATTATGTAAAATAATTGAAAATTTATTAAATAGATTTTAGAATTCCATATATATATTATATTGTTAAATAAATTACGTACATACTGCATATATTTATATAATGTTAGAATATTTAATTAATTTTAATTTATTAATTTTAATTTTAATTTTGAAATACAATGCATAATAAGTTAGAATAGGTGATTGAATCAGAAATTTACCTATATACATTATAGATTTTTATATTATTATTCCTACATCTTTCATTCACGCAGCTTGTATTGAAAAAATTTATATACGTAGATGATTTTCTGCTACAACATATACTGTGTACTCTTAGAAGTTTAGAAATTTATAAATTCAAAATTTCATGATAAAATCTCAAAATTTAATTGAAATTTGGTTTGCATATTCAATTCACATACATATTGTACAATAATAATACCAATGGCAAACAAAAAAGAAATTGAAAATTCCTGAGATGAAAAAAAAAAATTTAAAAACACGTACATTTTCTACATACGAAGTATAGGGGAGAGTGGATAATATGTGGCACTGTAATTTTTGATTCGTTGCACTTACTTCTATTTTAATTCAGAAAATTGGAAAAAAATATTTTGTATTTTGTACTGTTTTCTTCGAGACAGACCCTTCTTGCTTTTTTATTATTTAGTTTTAGAATTTTGTTATTCCAAATTAAAATCGAAAAATGGTACTATGGTGAAAATCGAAGAATGGTTTTCTGAAATCTTTAAAATTTCTATTTATTGTGAACGTTTAGAAAATTTTCGTTTACCGAATGCGGCGTCTCATATTTTCATTAACCAAAATCTTTTTTCGAACTAAATCAGGGTGCTCAGTATGCCCACTCTCCCCTATAATTCATGAATATATTTTTATATTCAGGAATTTCTTTTATTTTAAAATTCCGTAAAGTATCAATCGTGTATAACAATTTCGCTTTAATAATATTCAAAAATTTCAAACAAGAGTACCAAGAGAATAGAATATTTGATGTTATACTTTAGATTTTGTAAAAAAAAAAAAATTTCTCAATCAAAAAGTCTATTAATATTCTTAACTGATTCTTTTGGGATTTCCAATCCAAATTTAATCCAAATTTGAATTAAACAAATTTTGAGAGTTGGACAGCATTTTGGTAATATTTTTTTTTTAAAATTTTCATAGGTACAGATTATTCCAGCCAGAGTATGAGTATATATCAAAATGTGAATGTGTGTTTAGGGTTTTAAAAATGCATATAGAGAGTTTTAGGAATTTGCATATTATGCAACTTTAAAATATTTTAAAATTTTTTTAATATTATTTATGAAAATGTGAAAATTATAATATTTTTTTTAAGTGGAAATTATAAAATGTTTAAATTTAGTTTAGCTATATGAAAAAAATTATAATGAGCATATAAAAAAGGATTTGTTAATATTAAATATGTGAATAAATTTTAAAATATGAGAATATTAATGATGAAAAAAAAAAATTGAAATTATGAAAGAATTCACAAAAAAAAAATTGAATAAAGAATTAAACGCTTTAAATGAAAAAAATAAATTTTCCAAAAACTTTGTAGCATGCAATAATATTGTTGCATGATATAATAAAATATAATATTATAATATGATGTGGTCATAATTTCAGTATTGTAGAATAGAAGTAGAAATAGAAGGAAATTAAAAATTTTATAGATCTATTATTTACATACATATATAGCTACTATATATTTATAAGTATATAAATAAATATTTTTTTTGTGATTTTAAATATTCCTTTAAGGCTTTGTATATAAAATTTGTTTTTTTGTTAATGAAATAAATCGTCCAAATATTTAAGAATGATAAATTATGTGATTATTAAAAAAAAGAAAGTGAAATATAATTAGTAATTTTAAATTTTAAAATATTATTTACTAAATATAATTTGAATTAAATGTGATTAAATTTTAATTTTAACAATTAAATTTATTGTTTTGTATAATGAAACAGGCACGTGTAAATTGGGAATTGAAAGTGTTAGAATTTAATGAAATTTTGTATAAGTAATAAATGATCACAGCCGTTCATTCGAGGTTGTGTTTTTATAATAATGAGAAAAGTTACAAATTTTTAATTTAAAGTTATTATTGTTAGCTAGGAAACGTGAAGAAAATAGAAATTGCTGATTTGATTTCACTTGCAAATTCCCACTTAATTTTGTTAAAGAGGTGTAGTTGGGGAAATTACTATATGATTAAGGTACTGTGCAAATGAGTGCAATGTAAAATTTTGAAAATTCAAGTAGCAAATAAGACTTTAGTAAATTACTGTATTTAACCAACTCAATCATGATTTAAAATTAAATTTTAATTTCGCAGACAAAATGATAAGCAAGACGTTAATAACAGGACATTGTATCAGATACCCAGAATTTTCTGAAAATTTAAATTTTTCCAATATATTATAATTATTCCCAATATAATTTATTATTTACAAGTAAATTTCATAATCAGTATAAGTTAATTTCTATTGTACAATATTTATTTAATTCGTATAACAATAATTTCATTATTCTTGTATTATATAAAAATCAAATTAAAATAGAAAATATTATGTCAGTTTATTTTTCCCAATTATAAAAATAATTAAGTGAATTTTAATTTAATTGTGTACACAATATTAAAATTGTTAAAATAAATTATGTGAATACAAATTGTATTATAATGTTATTGCTCAAAATATTTTGCAAATTAATTAAAAATAATTGTTGGTTGCTAATTGGAATGATCAACTGATATTAACTCACATAATTACATTTAGTCAACGCGTATAAAATTCCATCTTAAAATCGCATAGTGTTTGATATTTTTGATGAATTTTATTTTATATTTTATTTCGTCCCACCAAGTTATGCCTCAGTTTTATGGGCTCATTAAATAGAATATATTAATTTTTACATTTCATATTATAAATTCATTACAGTTTAAAGCTTAAATTTTAAGAAATATTGCTGCAATTCATAATTTTTTCAAAAATTCGTCTAATTTATTACTCAAAAGCTGTTGCACAGTAGTCACTCATCACAGTAGCTGTTGCACAGTGGTCAAATATGTCATTATTACTCTCAAACATCTATGTATAATGCAATAGACGCACAATTTCATTTTATAAAATATCAATTTTATGAAATCAAATATTAAGCACATAAGCAAACACAATGAATGAAAGGAAATTGTTTTAGTCAAAATAATTTAAAAAAAAAATTATTTTATTTGTTGCGGTGCTTGAATTATTTATTAAAAAATAGATCAATAATATAAAAATATAAAAAATAAATTTTGTATAATTTCCGCAACAGTTTCTTTATTATTGAATCACTTAATTATTTAATTTAAATACAAAAATATTTTTTATTTCTATATGGAAAATCGAAGAACAGGTGTAAAAATTAAATAATGTAAAATAAATAATTATTTTGTATAATAATTAATTGTGTATAATTTTAATGTTTGCATAATTTGAAAGTGTCGAAATCAATTATACCACAATTAAATAAAAAATATGGAAATGAACAAAAATTTAAAAAATTATAAGAGACATTCGGATGTTTTCACTCAATATTTAAAAAAAAATATTTTGTTTTAATTTTAAAATACAATTATTTCTGTTAAATTTGGCAGCACCCGCCAACAAAAAAATCTAGTAGAAAATTTTATAATTACTTGAGTACACTTAAGTTACACATAGTTTGCTTCCCTATAGTAATCATGTTACCTATCACATACTAGTCATCCCAAATGCAAATTCCCTATTCTCTCAGAAAAAAAAAGAGCTGATGCAAATTTAAAGTACTTTACCCTATAATATTTTAATGTGTAAGAATTGAAACTAGGTTATTTTGGGTCAAGCACAAAAATTTACGCGGCCTTTTCAGTCATGCAATTTTTTATTTAATTTGAATTTTTACTTGCAAAAACAAGTCATAGTAGTTGCATCTAAAACTATATTTTGACTTGAATTAAATTTTTTATGATTTGTAAAGATTTCCAAGACGACATCAAATTCCTCCTTAAATAATGAAAGTCATTAATCTGACTACATAAATATTAAGGACTGTGTAAACAATTAATGGAATTAAAAAAAAAGCAATAATTAAAAATAAAAAAAAAATTGGAATCCAAAACCCCAAAATTTTAACATAATTGCTCCCCCCAAAACAACGCCAATTAGCGATTTTAAAATGACAGAATCCATTTGATATTAAATACAAAATCCATTTCAATTCAATTTCTATTTAAAAATATTAAATCATAAAATTTTTGTAATTAAAATAATTAAATTGGAATTACTTCATTTCCAAATTAAATAAAAAACAAAATCAAAAATAACGGTATATGTAGGTTATTTACGATATTTTTTATTAAATTATTATCACTTTTTCACCTGATTAAACATTGTAATTGAATTTAATCTCATCTCCGCCTACATTTCATTCCAAAAATAATAATATTGACATTATTATTATAAAAACACTAATTATTTCATTATAGTAATTAATGATGCATAATGGTATTGATTGCAAAAAAAATTTAAAATAATATTTTATTGAATAATATTGCAATTAAATTAATTTTAATACTTTTTAATTATAATATCGAATGTCATTATACAAAACTGAATAGGAGAGGTGAAATACTCGAGTTTTCATTTAGTAATTATTTGTATGATTTATTGAGTTTATATTATATAATGCAGGTGGGGTTAGTATAGTGTAATATCGGAAAATTTTATTGATTTTTTTTTAAATAATTATTAAATTAATATTAAAAGTGGGAATTATGCAATAAATATACCATATTTGTTTTATGACATTAATGGTAGCTATAGAAATTCACAAAGAAATGCTTGGACTCTTAAAATCACATTTGCTATTGTTATTTTTTTTAAGAATTTGACTTCTCATTTACATTTCATATATCATTGATATTTGTATAGTAGATACGCATATTTTGATGTTAACACAGAATTGTGGACATGTTACTCCAAATAAGCAAGGATTTTAGGGAATTTAGTTGTAGAGAAAAGCCATT